GGTCCTCGCCCACCTTCTTTCTTTCCTCCGGGTCCCGCCCTCCTCCCCATCCGGGTTTCCCCAGCCGCCACCACAGCCGCTCACGGTTTAACGATGAGATCACAGCTTTCGCGCCGCCGGTCCGCGAGTCGTAGTACCAGCATCAACTTCCCTCTTTATAGTTCCCTCTCGCTGCCTACACGAATCCCTCCCCCTACTTCATCCCAGAACTCTCCGCGCTCCTCAGCCGCCAGCGACACTGCATTACTCGACGCACGAAAATGCGCCATCCTGGTCACACTGCGCAGGCGTCGTTGCCACCTCCCCTCTGCTTTGTCGCCCCGCTCACTCCCCCTTCCGTCTCACGCAGCCGCGGGGCATTGAGGGTCTTGCAGTTCTCGCCTGCAAGGGCTCGCGCGCTGGTCCCGCAGCCTGGACTACATTTCCCGAAAAGCTTTGAGGCGTAACTTTCTGTTTCCATAGAACTGGTGGGAAAATGGCGTCGTTGTTTGTATGCTGGGGGCCAATAAGAACAGGGTGTAGGCGGGCTCTAAAAAACCCCAGCCAATCCGAGGTCGTCTAAGAGGCCATCCGGGAAAGAGGTAGGGGAGGGGAAACAGCCTAGGGGAGGGGAGAGCGGAGAGAAGGTGGGGGACTCGGGGTGGGGGGGAGCGATGTTTGCCCGTCAGTCGAGTCCGGAGTGAGGAGCTCGGGTGCTGGAGCGGAGGAGACTCTCGAGCTTAGCCTGCCGCCGCCACGGCCACCGCCTGGATCTTTGCCCGGAGGGAGCCGCAGAGGGTCTGTGGCCGCCGTCCTCTGGAGGGCAGCGCGACGGGGGCCCGGACTCCGGTCCGGGAGGATTTTTCGTCGTCCCCCCTCCCCCCAGCGAGGGAGCCCGAGCGGCCGCCAAACAAAGGTACCAGTCGCCGCCGCGGGAGGAGGAGGAGCCGGAGCTTCAGCCTCGGCCGCCGCTGGACCCGCCGCTCTTCTCCCCTATCTCTCCCCCGGGCCTGCTGGTTTTGGGGGGGAGCCGGGGAGGGGACTCCGGACGCGCCGGCGTCTGCGCTCGCCTCCCAGGAAGGTAGGGCATTTCGGAGGCTTTCGCGGGCTCGTCGGGGGTCCTTGAGGGAGTCCGGGCCCGGGCGACGAGCGGGGAGGACCGCCGTGGTGCGCTCGCCCGGCGTCCGAATTCGGG